AAGTGCAGCCTGCGTGAGGCCTTGCAGCTGGACTTGTTCAGAATTGACGTGCTCGCCGCAGTCGCCCGCCAGGCTTACAAGTCTTTGGTGGACAAGAACGCTGCTTTGATTTGGCGGCCTGGCCATGTTGTGGCGGGCTGAGCAAGATTTCATGGTGCGTTGACGCAGCAATGCGCAAGCGCGTAACCTCTCGATTCAAGTGTCAATGAAGACGATGATGATGGCGCTTGCAAACGCTCATGCTGGTGATTGTCATTGCAGCAGCGACAATGGCTGCTAATGCGGGTCTGTCTGATTGTGCTTCTGGCGTGGCAACTTGAAGCGGTGCCTTGGAAGGATCAGATCATCGCCTCCGTTTGGCCACAGTTTGCAGCCAGGCTCTTGTTGGATTGTCGCATCAATTTAAATCAAGCGTGGATAGGTGCGTTGTAAGCAGCGGCAGAGAGTGGTGGGGGAGCGCGAGAGATGTTTGCAAGAAAAGCTCCAATTGTCACACTGTTTGGCAGCAAGGTTCCGCGCGCAGACGGCTCGTTCTCGTTGTCCTTGGCAGATCGTTTCTCAGATGCTCCTTATGCCCTGGAAGGAAGCAACTCTCGAGGGCACGTGCTCAAAATACCGAGGTTGTGTGCGACTGGCTGCTGGAACCTGAGGATAAGAAAACGTGAGGCCAACTCGTGGGGCAGTTGCGTATCGAGCACTATAGCCAAGTTGCACGTAATCTCCGCTGCCGTTGTGGCTTTGGCTCGGACGGAGCGCTCTTGAGTTGGTGGCTTGAAAACAGCAAATTCTTTGCGAGAGACAAGCTGGTAGCAGAGCTGGTCGTCCACGGAGGCAAAGCGACTGGGGCCGGGAGATCGGCCACGGGTGCCGCTTTCATGGCAAACCTTCCCGCGCGGCCCGCTAAAGGCGGAAGCGTGTTGTTGGTCGCCGCCGAGCGGAGGTCGAGCGAGGTCGAGCAGAGGTCGAGCCAAGTCACGCAAGGGACTGTTTTGGCAAAATAGTCAATTTTGTGTGAAATCCGGCCGGCCGCAGATGTGTTTTTGTTATCTAACACAAAGGATTTGCGGATGGTCAGACACCACATGTAAAATGAAGAAGCAAACGACCAACGAGTACGAGGAGTGCTTTGGCAATGGTCATGTGGGTGATGCTGGCGCGGGGCAACTTGCGCCCGAAAGATAAAAGCAAAATGGTGCTGCTGCGAGAGCGACGCTTACTAGAAGGGCAGATGCCAACAGCAATGCAAGAGGGCCAAAACGGGTGGTGGATTACGGAAGATTCGCGGAAGCCCTGCAGAAGGGTGGCCCGCGCACGCAAGCCCGCGTGGCAGGTGGAACGCTGGAACCCGCGCACGCTGCCCTTCGTGCTTTCCAGTTGGCCAGCGACGCAACTTGAACTTGAAAAGCAAGGCCTGTTCCGCTCGGGAGTTCGGAGCTTGCTTTCTTTAGCACACTTGCTCATGCATTTGATCGTGACATTGACTTGCATTGTTGACATCATACTGATGCGCACTGTCTCAAGCGCGGTAGCGTCACGTTTATTGTTCTTAGTTACCTGCAAACCTTTTGCTTCGATGGCTGGCGTCTTGCTGGCCTATCCTGTCTGGACTTTCGGTGTCAGGCGCACCAAGCACAACAGCAGCGGATTGAGCTTGTCACGGTGAATCAATGGACACTGAGCTCCAAGGCTGCTCCACGTATTGTCTGGTGTCCAGCGACACGCCTCAGTCTTTTCACGCAGCTTCGACGGGCAATAGGCTCACGCCTGACAGGGCAAGATATGATGTATGCGCGCGCGCCAGGCCTCAGGCTGTCGTTCGATTCATGACATGACGCGCTGTGTGATAAGGGCCACACCCACATTGCGTTGCGCAGTCGTCTGACGATTGTGCTGAAACACAAAAAGAATTTGGCGTGCCCCATCATACAAGCCCATGCCCAAAGATGGCATGCGCCTATAACGAGCGGCTTGGCCACCAAAAAAACGAAAACAAACAGCGCGGGAATTCACCCCCACTGGGGTTGGGGATTCGCCGCCGTCATGTTTGCTTGTTTGGCAGCCAACTGCGGGCCCACGGGTGCAAACACAAAGTTGCACAGTGCTATGGGCAGAGCGTTTCCAACGCACTGCAATTTGAAAAGCCCCACGACGATGGCTTTGGCAGCCCCAACGTTGCATTCCAAGCACAAGCCAAGCCGACCAGAAGAATTGCTGATTTGTTGAAGCGATGTTCGGAGAAGTCGGTGTGCCAAGCTGCTCGCCCCTACAGCCAAGGCCAGCGCAAAAAGGATGCTGTGGTTTCCATCAAGGACAGATTAGTCACATCAAAGTGTTGGCACCCATGAAGAGGCGCATACTCTGCTTTCTAATTGTAAACGCTTTGCGTTGCCCGCCTTGGCCAGTCCGCTTTTGGCTGGCTTTGAGGTTGTTTTCGGTGCTTTAGTTTGCTTTGAAGTCTTCTGTTTATTAGAGCGAGCGAGTCGGCGCCGAAATGCGTGAGCTGGTTTCCTAGATAGACAAAGCTCTTATCGTCAAAACAGCTTGCTCGCGTCGTGTGTGCAACGTTTGAGTACCATTGCACGGGCAATGGATGCACAGTCTTGATGCCACACTCAGTCAGGTGATGCGGCTGGCACGCGCCTGCTGGTTGCACGCACGTCTCAAGCCCACTGGCTTTGGTCATGAGCGTTGTTCACCCAGCAAGGCTGGCGACGAAGCATGTTTTCCAATGGATCCCTTGGCCTGCCTGTCAGCCGCGCTGCCGTGTGCCAAGCCACACGTGGCTACGCCACACCTGCTTGGTGCACACACATAACGAGACCAGCGTGCTACCGCAAACCACACATGCAGCTCGTCACAGTCAAGCCCTGGTGGCCACTCCTTGTTATGTTTATTTTTGTTTGCGCGTGCTGGCATAAACAACACAAGTATCTGTACGGGCGCACAAAACCATCTGACGTTGCCAGAAGTCATTTGTCCTTCTCATTCTTTTTGTGCTAAGCAGCCATAACTTTGGTAAGTAAGTAGCTAGAGACCTAGCTAAGTCCTGCAAGTCCTAGGCGACATACTTAGCGTAACAATCACGTAGCAACTAACTACACTTTAGCTTGCGCGGGCAAAATGACTGTTGACAAGTGAGCCCACCTTTGTCTTTCTCAGCTGTTTTGTGTTTCGCGAGTTGCTTTGTGGTTCTTACCTCTGTCACGTGTCTTGGAGCGGGGAGGCGAATATTTTTTGCCCGGGCAAGTGGGTTCTGAGTGAAGGCTACAGACCTGACCCGGGAGACCAGCAGGAACAGCGAACGGGCGCCCGCTCTCAGACCTTTTCTGTCTGGAAGAACACACTAGCTTCAAAGACGCCCGTGTGTTCGGACCAGCCCACCATACCTTACTAAATAAAGCATTTTCCCCCGCCCCCCTCCTGCGCCCCTGTTGCTTCCCCGTTTTCGCTATTGACGTCAGGAGCCATTGTGAAGTTGCCTTTGTATGGTTGCTTTCGGGACAGTTTAAGCGTGTGTGTGCGCGGGCGCCCGTGCGCGTGCGTTGGTTTTAACCATTGTCAACTTCCAGCTCCCCGACATGTTTTGTATCAACCCCCTGCACAACGGCTGTTCGCCGAGGGCCTTGACGGCGTAGAGCACGATGCTGGCGTGTTGGCGACTGGCAGGACTGCAAGAGTGCCAGCAGTCTCAGGCCAGGGAATGAAGTCGCGATTCTCAACAGGCCTCGGCGAGATTTGACGTCCTGGCCCAAAAGCGCGGCCACGACCTAAGACAAACAGTGACAGCGCCGCTGTGCAGCAAAGCAGGCATCAAAAAGAACCATTAGGTCAAGGAAGTGTCTCGCGAGATTGGGACAGAGGTCATGATCTCGACACAGAGGAGCGCGGTTGATTGGTTTGTAGTCTTTCTCTTGTAAAGAGCAAACGATCTCCGCATATTGCCGGGAGCGGTCGAGCGAGATGGAGTTGACTTACCTTGTTGTCCGCTAGACGTCGTTTTGACTTGCGCGCGACTCTTTGCACGTGCTTGAAGCTCAAAAAGTGACGTGTTTCTTTCTGCGCGGTGGAGATAATTCAGCTGACGGGCTTTATTTTCACCCTCCGTTGAACACTCACATCCCTGGACGAGTAAGAAGCCGCTGCTCGGCATTGACCCGGAGCTGAAATGGATTTCGTCTCGGACATGTCCGGATTAGACGCCCGCAAGCGCGCGCAGATTTGACACTTTCCGCTGGGCAGCAAAATGTCGAAGGATCTTGGTGCAGGAAGTGGCAGACGAAAGGCCGGGAGCTGACAGAGTTGTCTAGGTGCAGTTTCCGAAAAAGCGTGGCGCCAGGCACGCGTCCGCCATGTCCAGCGCGCGGCTCGCGTCAGGCGCCCAGTTGCAACCGCCTTGGAAGTTGTTTGTCTCTAGCGACCAATTGGCCGCAGCAATGACTCATGCCCGTGTCCACTGCAAGGGTGCGAGCAATCCAGCAATATTTGAGTTTAAGATTGTTTGAGCACTTTCCTTTCGTGGCAGTTCTACCCTTGCCAAGGCTTAGAAAGCTGACGCTTCTAAAGCTCTGCAGAGGTTGCCACGGAACGTTCAGCCCAGCTCTTGACATCAAGCCCAAGTTTGGAGAGGTTCTCGGCTGACACAGGCTGTGCTGTGCTTCACTTCCCCCGCGAAGCTGCCGCGGAGGACCAGCTGAACATTCTCAAACACGTCGCTCTTTCGCAGCGTAACGCTGCCCAAGTAAAGGACCATCTTTGGGCCAGCGTCGCTGTCCGAAAGGGAGCCTGCACCTCGCTGAGGGAAAAAGTGCTTGCTTTGCGGCGCAGCCTTATGCTATCGCCCAGATTCCTTGGCGACCCCTGGACAAGCATCCTGAGGCTTTGCGTTGACAGGGCGTTGCAGGTGGTTGGTAGTTGTGTCTCAAACCAGGCCTACCTGCAGAAGACGCACTGTGCTGGGGTGAAGCTGACTGCGGCGGAGCTGAGTTCTTTGGAGGTGGAAGGCGGGCTGCGCGACGCTGCACGGTTCCCCGCAGTCACTGTTGCCCGCAGTGCGTCGTGTGCTCCGTGTGGCAGTCTGTTTGTTGGGGAGCAGTTCTTGAGCTAGTTTGAGGACTTGCGATGTGGTGATTCTGCGATGTTGGGGGGGATCTTTCCAAAGAAAAGTGTCTCTCTCACGGTTTTGACAGTATGTGGCGGCTGGCGCCAGGCCGGGCCCAGCAGGCAAAAGCCCCGCCAACATGGGTCGCGGCGCAACTCCAAAAATGTTTTTGTTAGACAGGAGCTACCACAAACAGTGCCTGTTCTGTTGATTTGCTGGCTGCGAGTGCCCGCCGGCGCCTGCTCCAAAAACACTGTAAGCGTCGAGCCCTGAATAAACAGCATCGCGCAGGTTTATAAAGCAACGCCGCGGAGAGCTAATGTGAAAAGTAAATCTACCACTGCCACTGCGCAATAAACCGCAACCAGTTCCCGGAAGAAGTGAGGTGGGTTCGAGCCAGGCAATACTTGGTTCCGAAGTGGCATGGCATCAACCCAGAGAGCCCAAAACTCTTTAAATAAAAACATTGCTTAAATAAGGTTTCTTATTTAAGGAGTTTTTTTCTTAAAACACATTGCTTAAATAAGGTGTTTTTTCCTCCTTCGAAGCAACCAGCTATGGCCAACAACTATATGAAGAAGCTGCCTCTATTTTAGAAGACCTTCAAGAACACTTTGATGATGACCATGACCCTGAGCAGGATGACGCTCTTCCACCAGCGACCCCAGGAACAGTGCCGGAATCTTCAATGAGCGTGGCACCGCCTCCGACTTTCCCACCTGAGCCGCCTTTCCAGCCAACGCACATGATGCCTGTGTTTCCCAAGATAATGCCACATGTGGGCCCTGTTGGCCCAGTTCCCATCAACATCATGGCGCAACACACCCCTGCAAATGTGTTTCTGGTGGTATTGCCTGGTGGACTGCCTGTCCTTGCTCAGGGTATGCAGGCTGCAATCCCCAGACCCATCATGCCTCCTCCTCCTCCAGAGGAGGATGACGAGCTATAGGCAGCTGTAACTGTAAGGCAGGAAATGTGAAACAATGTTGAGCGCAGCATCCTTGAGACTGAAATGCCATGAGGTCGGCCGAGTCACATGTGGCATGTTGCCCTTGTGCATGATGCCTGCATGCTCCTATGTGGGAGTAAGCATTTAACATTTTCTTTTAATTGGAATGTTTGACCTGCTCACTGCTGAGACCAATACCCTCCTGTGCAGGAGGCACCTGGAGGGTGTTTGAGAACAGTGCAAAGATTTCAAATGTTGCCATCAACAACCAACACTTGCCTAATCCAACTTGATATGATGTGGTTCAAATGCTTCAGTTGCCAGTCACATTGCTTGGTCATGATATTATATTAACTGCACGGGGCTGCATAGTTGGCAAGCCCATCAGTGTTGCATACCAGTCATGGGTCATGTGGGCAAACATCACCACACCTGCTTGCAATGGCCAGGCACTTGTCTCCTTTGCAGGAGGCTCAGACTTTGGCTAATGGATCTGGGCTGTGATTCTCTCAGTGGCCTGTGCATGTGTGGCATCAAGAAATGATGGTTGAAAAAAGGTTGAAACTTTCAACTTTTTCAACCCTGGTTCTTCACTACTTGAAGGGAAACCAGGGTTGAAAAAGTTGAAACTTTCAACCCTTGTTCAACTTTTTTTCCTGGTGGACAGTAGTGCCTAGGTCCATTTGCTTTTTTTTGGAGCTATGGGAAGAGGTTCAAAAGCTGGCCCCAAGATTGGATTCAAGAAAGGTGCAAAGCCTGTCAAGCCTCATGCAGCCTCTGAGACCAAGATGGATCAGCAGAAGTTGCTGAATGCCTTGAAGTACAGGGCCAGCACGGTAGGGGCCACCATACTGTCTTCAACAAGTGCTTGTCATAATGTAGCCTCATGTTTTCTGTGTAGGAGGGAACAACTAAATGACCTCTTGCCCTATGGACCTTGGAATGCATGGCTTCACCATGGAACCCGGCCAGTGTTTCAATTTCTCTTGGCAGATACTGCCTCCTATGTATGAGGTTAGTGTAGGACCCACCAGTGTTTCAGCTTTCCTGGGCCCACCTCCTATGTAGGAGGTTAGTGTAGGACTCTGCAACACATCATGGAAGACACCTGGCTGCATAGGGCAACGTAAACTGATCAATGGGAAATATTGTGCTCCCCAAAGTATGTTTGGTTGATTGGAAAGCCAAGGATGCCGACACATTCCTGGCCATCGTTGCCAATAACCCTTTGCTACACTTCCAGCACCTCTGCGTTGGGCTTGGCCTTGATTTTTTTGAAGTTGCCAAAGGCAACATGATCCAACATGGCAGGACATGTTTTGTGCCTAGGGCTTGGTTGTGGCCACCCAATGATGGGGTCGGCTTACCCAGAAAGAGAAAATGGCTTTGCTCTTAAACATCATGTTTGCTTGTGTGCAGTGCTGCAGGGTTGTTCATATGTGCTTGCCTGGCTCAATGTGTAACGTATCTATAGAATCGCCATGTCGATGAATGCCAGCCAAATAAAAGGTTCAGGAACAATCTGGCTGACCCCTTCCTGGCTGGAGGGGTGTCAGCCTTAAGAGCTACAAGCTTGTTCAGGGATGCAGCTGCAGCCAATACTGAGAATGTCAGCGACCTTGCTTCTGTTGCGATGGGCTCACATGCCCAAAGGACCTGTAAAGGAAGTTGCTAAAAAAAGTGCTTGGCCCAGCTTTACAGAGGCAATGTGCACATTCTGGACAGCAACACCCACAAGCCCATGAGATTGTGCACAGTTTTGTGCATTGGAACAAGTTAGCCAAAAACATTTATGAGTGCTGGTCTTACAGACCTGGCCCAAAGGCTGTACACTGAGGATTTGGCAAAGCAATTTGGATGGCAACTTTTAAGCCACCAAGCTTGTGTTTGGGGTCACAGTCTGTGTTGCTCCTTTGGGCTTGTGGTACTCCTTTGGAAGAGCCTGTGTCCCTCATCTTCCTCATGGTCCTCGTCATCATCATTATTGTTATGATCATCATCATCATCATCATCATCATCATCATCCTTTCTGTACTTCTTGTATAGAAATCAACAGGTAGACACCACTTGCAATGCAACGGATGCTAGGTTTGATAGTTATCCAGGCACATCCCTTGGTAATGATGACGTTGATGAAGTATCATCGTAGCATCTAACGGTGATGATGATGATGATGACCATGAGGAAGATGATGAAAAGTATAATCCTAGCATCCGCTGCATCTTCAACGAAGACGATGACAAGTATCATCGCAGCATCCCCTGCATCTCCCAGTGGATGATGATCACGATGATGATGATGACAACGGTGATGATGACGAGGATGACTATGAGTCATCGCAAGTATCATCGCAACATTCTCTGCATCTCTAGCAGTGCCTGGATAACTATCATCGTAGCATCCGTTGCATTGGAAGTGGTGTCTAACGTCCCTTTTGGTTTCTATACAAGAAGTAAGAAAGGATGACGATGAGGATGATGACTATGAGGAAGATGATGAAAAGTATCATCGTAGCATCCGCTGCGTCTCCAACGATGACGATGATAAGTATCATCGTAGCATCCCTTGATGATGACGATGATGATGATAGCATCTAACGGTGATGATGATGATGATGACCATGGGGAAGATGCTGAAAGGTATCATCCTAGCATCCGCTGCATCTCCAACGAGGACGACCAACAGTGGATGATGATGATGATGATGGTGACAAGCGTCATCACAAGTATCATCGCAACATCCTCAGCATCACCAGCAGTCATGAGGATAATCATGCCCACACATCACCAACAGTCAATGATAATCATGAATACGCATCTTTCGCATCTCAAATCGAGCGATGACAGTTATCACGACGCATCCCCAGCACCTGGATGACTATGGAAGATGATGAAAAGTATCATCGTAGCATCCGCTGCATCTCCAACGAGGACGATGATAAGTATCATCGGTTACTCCTTTCTAGGAGTTACTCCTTTGTAGGAGTTACTCCTTTGTAGGAGTTACTCCTTTGTAGGAGCCTGTGCATCTGGGTCAGCTTCAAACACGCTTGGGCACTAAGGTTTTCATTGCCTGCTGTTGGGCTTCTGGGTGGATGGTGTCCCAGTCAAATGGGACAATCTATTCTGAATTTGCCTGGCCAAACGATTGAGGGTGCCAATCACAGCTATCAACAAGAAGCACATGTGCCAAGAGAATGGCTTTTCCACAATGATATTGGGAGTGGTTGCCTGGTCCTTCAGATGCCTGCTGGCAGGCAAGTTTCCTCTCAAAGGCTTCCATGGAGAAGAAATGCAAGGGAAAAGGGTCAAGCAAGCAGGCCTCGGGTGCTCAGGGGCCGATCTCTCAAACTCAAGAGGGCTGGAAAATGTACAAGAATGGATTTGGTTTGGCTGGCTGGACACTCGTGCCAATTGCTGCTACAGATGCTGGGCTACACCTCAAGACATCAGGGATGTCAGTTCCACAGCATCCTGGAGAAGCAAGGGAAAAAACTCATGGGAGCATCTTGCTCATGCTTCCAGAATCTCACCTTTGTTTAGTTTGCCTGGGATTTCTGCGGACACCTGTCATCGACTGGCGATCTTGGAGTGGCCGCGGACTTCATAGGGAACCTGATGCAGCTGCTTTTAAGCAGGTTCCCTGGCTCCAATGCTAAAGACCAAGCAGCAGCTATGCATAGAAACATCTTGTCTTTTTACAAGAGGGTTCCTCCCAGCAACAGACTGGCTCATTCAACACCATTGATGATCAAGAAGCTTGCAATAGCCAAAAACTTGAAGGGAATGCTGGAGAAGTTCGGACTGGTCCCTTGGGCTGTAGAGAAAGCTGCTCAATGCCCAAGACAGCTATGAGTCAACAGTGCTTGAAGCTGCTCGCCGGCTCAGCCAGTGCTATATTCCTGTCTTAGCAGGGAAAGGTGGGACAAAGAACTGCTCAAAACATCTTGCAGG